GCAGCAAAATCATGGAATGCTGACATCCTTAATAATAGCAATTAGTAATCAGTTGTTTCTTAAGTCGTTTGATTACACCAGTTGCCAAATTGTGCAGTTGATGCATTTGGGGGGCGAGATGGGTCTCCTCGCCCCTCCCCCAGCCGTCCTTTCTCCCTCTCTGTGTTCTCTGCGGCTACTGAGCCAACTGGTATTGAAAAGAGGCAAGCACAAATAATGCGATTGTTGCTAGTACTGAACAGTAGAGACTTGGCTTCAGCAGAAGGTAGAATCGAATACTTCCTTGCAGAAACACAAATCGCAATCGTGTCTGTGGGCATGCACTCTGTGCCCACACAGCTGAGGGTGAGCATAGGAGCTTGGCTCCTCCATGTCAGTCACTGCGCCCAGCGTCAGAGATTCCTCTCAGGGCTAAAACCCCATGCTAGGCTCTGGATATAATCGAGTGTCAGGTGAGGTTCTTGCCCTGGAGGAGGTTGTGTTCGGGTTCGAATCGTCCAGTCAGTATATAAAAACCAGCCTAGCAAGGCCATGCATTTCAGTAATGGATGGAGACTCAGGGCATTATGCTTTCATGGAGGGAGGACACAAGGGGTCAGGGATGGCTTTCTAGTGGAGGTGACCTTTCCTATGCGGGGTCTGGAAGGATGAAAAGGCAAAGGTGAGCAGAGGAGGTGCAGCCCTGGCTAGGAGGATCCTGTTGGGATGGAGGCTGACTGTGGGGAGTCAGGGGCTTAGCCTTAGCAAGCGCAGCAGGATGTTGGGTGTTCCAGGTCCATCCTTGCAGGAGAGCAGGTGTTTTCACAAAAGCACAGTTGAATTGCTTCTTTAAGAGAACCCTGATGGATGACCATTCTCCTGCCTAATGCCTGCCTCAGCAGGATATGTTCTGTGCTTTGCCCCACTATCTGCTGGGGCTAACATGTTCATTTCCTTTGACTTCTGCCTGCACCAAGGTGGGGGCACATGTTCACTGAGGGATTTCTCTAGAAAAAGCCTTTCCACCATTGGATACCATGCCATTTTCCTCTATGCTTTTTTTAATGTATGATATTGATATGGGTGCATCAGAATAAATTATGCCTCTTTCTGTTCTATCTGGCGGGAGGAATGAGTTCACAGGCCTGTGAGCGCGGTGAGCTTGCCGTAAGAGGCAAGGTCCTCAGGTGGTCCATTACATGCAGAGGGAAGGGGCTACTATTCTTTCTCTCATTTTTGCACTTTGTCGTCTTTTGAACAAACTCAGAGTTCTGTCGACCGCGGCTGTCCTTGGGATGGAAACCTCTTCCCTCTTCTTTCCCCAGGTACTTTTGCCAATATGACCCTTGACTCTGGCCTTCTCCTGGCTTGGTGGACATCCCCAGCTCTGCCCCACTTCTTGGTCCAGCCCTGTTTTCCAGTGTGATCATCCCTTCCTCTTCACATTCCTCCTTGCAGGGATTTAGATGCTTGTCAGTGTCCATTCCCAATATGTGCTGCATTTCAAGGTCATTGCTGTAAGTTTTGACCACTCTTCAAAAATTGTAAAGACCCCACATGTAGCTTCAAATCCAAACAGCTCATTCTTGCATCAAGGATCATCCCCCCACACTTGAGAAGGAGAACATTTGCTCCCACAGTAAAAAGTAACCTCTGCCCAATTTAGGCTGCGACAGTGAGTCTTTGGGATGATGGCTTGAGAGAAGCATGGAGAAGGAGGGAACCTAAACGATGATCCAAGCCAGCAGCAATTCCCCAAGAGCATCTGCCAATCACCAATTCTACGGTGCTCAGCAGACATCAAAGTGAGGTTCGGGGTGAGAAACCGAGCCAAACGTAATCGCAATCCTTAAGTCCCTTTGTGTTTAAACGACTCCAGGCCTTTGAGTCTCTGAGGGGAGGACCCAGCAGAAAACAGTTCCCAAGCTCATTCCACCATGGGGCTTTTCTCAGGAAGCTTGTGGTTCTCTGTGTGGGGAGCACTCATCTAATCTCATACCCTAGTTAGTAAGTGGAGTTGTTGGTCCAGAGAGAGAAAGAGACTTCCCTGAGGTTACACAGCTCAGCAGAGTAGAAGTTCAATAAATCATGTTTCTATCTTAGCCGGTGGCCCTATCCTCTACCCATCACCCAGACCTTCCCATCGAGCCTCCCAAATATCTCTCATCTTTGTCACTTTGCCTTTGTGTCTTCCTCTGCCTTGGCTTAGACTCTTGCCGTCTCTCACCTGGGCAACAGCCTTCGATGAACTCCCAGCTAGACTCAACTTCTTCCTAGCCCTTCTCTGCTCCTTCAAGTCCTAGTTTCCATGGCAGCCAGAGTGGCATACCCCAAATGAATGTCTGAGCGTGTTGCTCCCTGCACCCTCGTCCTGAGGTCCAGCCTGCTTTCTCTGTGATGAAATCACTGATAACAAGGCGTGCCCTAGGATCACGTGTTTAATCGTTCAGTATGCCGTCGTCCTAAACGGAACCAACTTAGATCAGACCCAAGCACTTCAAACCTGTCATCAGTGTCAAATTGTCCCTGCACTGCTGAATCGTTAGATAGGAAAAAATACAGGTGTATGCGTATCAGTCTCTTTTCATGCTGCTGATGAAGACATACCCGAGACTGGGTAATTTATAAAGAAAAAGAGGCCTAATGGACTCACAGTTCCACGTGGCTAGGGAGGCCTCACAATCATGGCAGAAGGCAAGGGAGGAACAAAAACACCTCTTACATGGTGGCAAGCAAGAGATAATGAGAGCCAAACACAAGGAGAAGCCCCTTATGAAACCGTCAGATCTTGTGAGGCTTCTTTATTACCACAGGAATAGTATGAGGAGAACAGCCCCTGTGATTCAATTACCTCCCACTGGGTCCCTCCCACAACACGTGGGAGTTACGGGAGCTACAATTCAAGATGAGACTTGGGTGGGGACACAGCCAAACCATATCAGTATGTAACTTATAACTTAATGGATTCAACGTGGAAGGCATGTAAATTTCCTAACACAGTTTTCATAGTTTCAAGCATTTGGTAAAATGAGACACACAGTAAGGATTTTGTAGGGCAATTAGTAATGTGAAAAGAAAGGATATTTAGGTTCAAGATTGCCAATATACAAATTTTCAACCAGCTGGGACAGGTTTATGAAGGAAGAGCTGTTGAGAGGCTGCCTGCTGCTGTTAGGGTCGCAGCAGAAAGCAGATGGCATGAGCTCAGGGTTACAGGGGCTCCAGGAGACCACCTATGGTGGTAGCCATTCCTAACCCTGTACATGATGGGGCCAGAGGAGGGGCAGGAGCTGCTGGGCAGAGCCTAGCCTTCGGCAGAAGGAGGCTGCTAAACCCAGCAGCCATCTGGCAGGGAGGAGCTGGGGAGTACTCTCCCTGCCCTCGCCTCCCCCCAGCTCTTTTCATTAGTAGCACCCAACAGGAGCCAGAAGGCAAACAGGACCAATGCAGTTCGCAGAGATCAGCCTCGGGGGCTGCTTGGGCAGGGTGGGCCCCGAGAGCGAACGCGAGATGTACAGCCCAGCACTCCCCGTCCAATCACTGCTTATCATGACAACCTCCCCTAACGCTCCCAGGGCAAACTCCTAGAGAGATGGAAGGTACCAAGTTTGGGATCACAGCTCCTGGGCCTGTGGAGCCCCACCAGATATTAGGAAAACCGAGGCGAAGAGGAAGCAAGAGAAGATTCCTCCCTAAAGCGGCTTGCTCAGGTCCCCTCACTCTCAGAGGCAGCCTGGGAAGTAGACCCAAGCTGAGGGAGGGTTGGCGGAACCTCTTGGAAACTCCAATCTCAGACTGCTCTCCTCAGCACCTGAAAGCTCCATTCCCTAGCAGCCGCTCCCTTGCATGTCCCATCCGTGCTCCTCCTGCATGTTGTGCACATGTGTGTGCGTATGCATGCATGTACGTGTGTGTACATGTGTGCGCCTGTGTTGGGAAGGAGAATGACAGTGCAGAGGAGCTCTCAGCCTCCCTTAGGGGCCAAGGCTAACTTGCCCCGTAATCTGACAAGCTGGGAAACAGCACAACACCACTAAAAGTAAATCACACATCAGGAAACACTTTCAGCAAACATAACTGAGGGATGGTGTCTATGTCAGGTGAAGAAATCCTACAAAATAAGAATGATTCAAAGAGATGGCACGATCCTGCCCAAGCCCCAGAGAGACAAGTCTTGCACCTGAGGAGGCCTACAAAGAAAAAATCCTGTGGATAAGACTTCATCCAGACCTGCAAAGAAGGGATGGGTGACAGGCAGGGAAGAATTAACGGTGTACACATATGAAACTACGATCTAATGCAAACGTTCATTACTGGCGCTGCTCCTCGGTGAGGCTGTGGTAACACACCACCTCACCGTCAGAGGGAATAGAAAGCCTTGCGGAAAACAATTTGGCACCAATTTAGAAGCAATACACTTGGAGAAAATGTTATGTTCTTATTCTAGTTACATGGCTCCTAGGAATTTATGGGAAGGATATAATCCCAAATAAGAAAAAAGCTGTAGGAATGCTAATACAGATGCTCATTACAGCATTCTTTATAGAAGTAAAAAGGTAACCGAAGATTGTCTCTTTTGTAGGCATTTGGCTTAAGTATTTCGATAGGGGATTGAAATTCAGAAGACTATATAGCAACATGGAAAACACTTTCGATTTGGATTTTTTAGATCTCAAGGGAGCAGAACACACAAACGGGTCCATGATATGGTCATCAGTGGGTGAAATTTACACGTGCAAATGGAGGAGCTTGGAAAGCAGCGGAGCCCTAGCGCAGCCGCTGTGGTAGGATGGGGGCATCAGGGGTTAGTTTCTTGTGTTGCACTGCATTTGTTGCTTATGTAGCACACATGTACACCGTCTATGCAGCATATGTGTAGGCATGTATGTATGAGAGTCCGATATCCCAGTACATATCATTGGCTTTTTACAAGCAATTGCCCCTCTACCTCCAGGATCTGCCCACCCTGTCAGTATAACTTAGTAATTAAGTCCCAGATGCAGCAGGCTCGTTCTGGTTACCTAGCAGCATGCCGGGGGGCAGCTGAGCCGAGGGGTCTTTCATCCAGTCGTCATTGGCCAGTTCTATCACGGCATCCACGGGAGTGACTTCAGTGCAGATTAAATCCCTCATTCTCTCCTCATCTTTGGCATCCAGGGCGGACTTTAATCTCTTCACTAAGTCGGAGTTGAGTGGGTAGTCGGGAAGGTAATCCCAGTTGGACATTGTTGTGTCGTTTGTGCAGTGACCAGCTTTTCTTTTCTTCCTCTAAAGCAATTCCAAAGTCAGCAGCTGTCCCCAAGAGTGGCATGGGGGCCTCTATAAATAGCAGCATCCTGGCTCCTCTTACAGTCCCTGCGGAGGGCCACTCCCCCAGCAGGGAGGTGTGAAGTAATCTTTCCAGAGGCCTCAGTGAAGGATTATTCTGGGGATGGGGCAGCAGACATGTTTGTAAGTAGTACAGAAGGAGAGAGAGTATTTTCAAAGAGAGCTTTCATGGGTAATGTTAAATAATGTCTTTTTTGATCAAAAGTGAGGCTCTCTCCTGAAACTTTGAAAACCTCTTCCTGGGACTGGGCTTGGACCTCTGTTCTGTGGAAAGGAACATTTTCTAATATTTTACCCCTCGGTCTCCTTCACGTCCTCTAAAAGGAGTGTCTGGTCACCTGTAAATTGACATGCCTTGAATTGCATAGAATGGAATGGAATCTTTGGTTTCCAAATTCAGGGAAGAACTGGTCAGTCTTGGGAAGACAAAAGCATCACAGAAGTGAACAAAAAAGTAACCTAAATATTACCCACGACCTCCCTGTCCCTCAAAGCTGGTAAACTTGACTCAAAGCCTATAATTCCATGACTGTGGAAGGGCAGAGCTCTCAGGTGGATTTCTGTGCACTCTTAGGGGAGAAGATGGGGCTTTCTCTCTGTGACCTGTGTCTTCAGTGTGCTTGGGTTTCCTCATGCCAAGCTGTGCACAAGCACAGCTGTTCCTGCAGCTTCTCTGCTGATGCCAGTGTGCTGTGGCCTCTGAGGGTCCAGGGTGGGCTGCAGAGCTTACAGGGCCTCCTTCGCCTTGCCTTCCATCTTGCCATCTTTTTCCTTCCTTCCCTCCCTCCCTCCCTCCCTCCCTCCCTCCCTCCCTCCCTCCCTCCCTCCCTCCCTCCTTCCTTCCTTCCTTCCTTCCTTCCTTCCTTCCTTCCTTCCTTCCTTCCTTCCTTCCTTCCTTTCTTCCTTCTCCCCTGTGCTTAATTTTATGTGTCAGCATGGCTGGGACCACAGTGCCCAGAGACTTGACCCAACACTAGTCTAGATGTTTCTGTGAAGGTGTTTTTGGGATCAGATTAGACTTTCTTGAACCAGAAGACTTGGAGTAAAGCTGATGGCCCTCCCTAACATGTGTGGGCCTCCATCAATCAGTTGAACGTCTGAATAGAACAAAAGACTGACTTTCTCTGAGCAGGAAGGAATTCTGGTGGTAGATAGAGGTTGAGCCTTTGGTCTCAACCTCAGCTCTTCCCTAGATCTCCAGCCTATCAGCCTACCCTGCTGATGTTGGATTTACCAAGTCCTCACTATACTATGAGCCAATTCTTGAAGATACATTCTCTCTCCCTACATACTGTTGGTTTCGTTCCTCTGAAGAACCTTGACTAATACACCCTTCCTCCTTTCGGCTCTGGTGCGTGATTTTCCTGCTTCTGCTCCATCTACAATTGAGGTATCAGGCACTGTAGTTCCTGCCCAATATCCATTCTCCTTCCACCTGTGTGCCCAACACGGCCTGGCTTTCTTGGCAGGGGCACTGTGCCCAGCCCCTGGGGACGAGTCACGTTGATTTAGGTCAGTAGTGTCAGTCCCAGTCTCCTTTGCCAGCTACTCCATGTCCAGTCTCTGTTGCAACCTGGTTCTGGCTGGTGGGGTGAGTCTGGGAAGTGATCTGCTTTCCTGATGGAGAGGGACAGAAGTGGCTGGCACCTCCCTTTCCTTTTCTTGTTTCTGTGAACACGGACATGATATGTGGAGCTGCAGCCACATCACAGCCAGGAGGTGACAGACGTGAAATGAAGGATCAACACACAAAGGAGAGTGGGACGGAAAGTTGGGCAGAGACTGGAGGTGACATTTCAGCCACCAGACCTCTTATCTTTATGCCTTAAGCACTTTTTGTGTGTTTTCTGTGACTTGCAGCTGAAGACATTCCTGGTTGATACAGGTAGTGTGTTTACTCTGCCTTTAAATCATGGAAATGTCCTGGTTTTAGTCTAAGAAGATGCAGGGGGAATGACTCAGCCAGTGAAGAACTTGAGTGAATCCTCCCAAGCCTTCTATTCTTTGATAATAGTAATGCCCTGCCTTTTATGATAAAATCCAAATGGATTTTGTAACAACAGCAGACAATCCCAGAGTCCCCGAGTGGAATGTGGATGAGCGATGGCACCATAGGTTGGGCTCACAAATGAGCAGCAGCCAGGGCCACTGGAGTGACTGCCTTTTGGTGTCATGGACCTTGACGAATGGACCCCGATGGCGACATCCTTGGAATCTCTGGTAATGGACTCTGCCCAGAAATGAAATACGAGTGCCGAGGATCTGCCTGCAGTTCAGAGGCTTGACTGAACTGCAGAGTATAACTGGTCTCTACTTCTTTCTTTGGCCAAAGGACTGGGGGTTTTGAAGATTTTTGGGCTTAAATTTCCAAGCACCAATCCTTTGCAGCATCAAATGTCTTACATTTAGGGAGAAATCTAACACTAGCACATGTGTGTAGATACAGCGAAAGGAAGGATAGTGACCGTAGGAAAATGATCAGCACAGGGGCAAGGTAATCTAAAGAAACAAAATGAGAATTATTCGAGACTGCTATCAAACTTCAAATCAGAAGGGAGGTAAAGATGAAGCACTTGTTGGGCAGATAATAAGATGACAAAGCCTCAAAACACGGCACTCACTGATCTTAATTACCAAGCTATCTGCTGGGTGTTTAATCAGTGGCACATACACTATGCTAATTATTCCAGCTAATTTCATTATAATGCAATTCTTTATCAACCCTGCTATGTATAATTAGGAATTGAAGTGTAACTAACACAAATTACGTTTAAGGCAACACGAATTTCTTCATTTCAGCACAAAATCTTCTGGTCTCTATTTCTTTATCTTTCTTTTTTGATTAGCTAAGGTCACCCCTCCCTACTCCAGTCCCCCACAGCCTAAACCATCATTGGAGGAGAAAGCAACCCAGCACAAATATTTCCCCCTTTAACTTCTTGGAAATCATCTGTTTGACTCTCCTTCAGCGACTGTCCTTGAAAGGTACAGAATATATTTAAGCAATCAGTGACAGACGGATCCTGCCTTTCTCTGCATCAGATAAAGGTCGCCTTATTGTTCTATTTTAATTTTTAAATAATCAGTGGAGGGTACCATAATTCATGTATTTTCAGTGATATATTGTATACAACTTACATCAAGTTGTGTTTACAAATGTGTTTAGATGAGGACAAATAATATGTATCTTACAGAGAAGCATAAATATTGTCTGGAATTTTTCATGTCATGTGGCTCTGCATTCAAAGAGGTCAGGACTGCCAGGCTTGTGACTTTCTCCTCCATCAATACTTTTGGTTTTGAACAAATTTGCAGCAAAGTAACAAAGCCTAATAAATCAGTTGATAAAACTGGGGTCTAATTTAGTCCCAGCACTGAGTCCGTCACCAAGTGAGAGCCATAGTCTGGGAGAATGAACAGTCCCAAGTCCTCAGACCCCCCTGTGACCTCAGAGTAAGGGACAAGCTCTATGCGCATCTAGACTCACTCAAAGTGACCGAGACATAGCCCTGTAAGATGGATTCACCTTTGAAACTCATTGCTTCTTTGGGCCTGAAATGTCCCTGCTTTTCCCTGGGAGCCTGGAGAGCAGCTCCTTCATCCCCTGGTCCCCTGAGTGCTGTTGGGTGCTCCCTTGCCTCCAGATCCAGCTCCTGGGCCCTCACATTCTGGATAAGCTGGAGCTTTGCTCCCAGGCCAGAGGCTTTCATCATCTTGCATCATCCCCTCTCCTGTCTCTGGTTCCTACTGTTTTATTTATTTCTCCTAATTCCCAGCTCCAGTGACAAAGATGTTTCTCTTTGTGGTCAGAAGCTTTTTAACTTTGCTAAAGATTCTTTTGAATTGTTTTTTTTTTTGAAAGGGTCTCACTCTGTTGCCCAGGCTAGAGTGCAGTAGTGCAATCACTGCTCACTGCAGCCTCTATCTCCTGGGCTCAAACTCATCCTAGCCTCTCGAGTAACTGGGCTACAGGTGTGTGCCACTATGCCAGGCTAATTTTTAAATTGTTTTTAACACAGAGAAGGGCTCACTATGTTGCCCAGGCTGGTTTCAAATGCTGGGCCCAAGCGATCCTCACACTTCAGCCTCCCAGAGTGCTGGGACTACAGGTGTGAGCCACTGTGCCCAACTTGAATTCCTTTTCAATGAGTCGCTTCTAGCTTTTCTGTCTCTACAGTTTTGTCCAAGATGTTTGTGTGAATGTATTCACCATTCCGTGTGGGGCGAGGCTCGCCCATCAACCCAGCAGGCTGCAGTAGCTACTTTGTAGTGCAATCTTGGTACTCAGGCTGGATGGGTAGCTCTTTGTGAAATGAGAGAGCAGGGGCCACTTTCATTTCCCCTATGTCTTCAGAGGCTGGAAACAATGGGATGGGGTGTGGGCACAGACAAGATACGATTAAAGTCACTGACAATTCTTGCAAGATTTGTTTCTCTCTGTTGGGGCATGGTTTGTAATGATGCAAGTTTGGAGTGGTGCAATTGGAGATACCGATATTTGCTAGTAATATAATCATCAAGGCCCAAATAATGCACAAATGATTTTCAGTCAGTAAACATGTTTTGAGCCCTGGTTAATTCCAGGCACTTCTTGATGTGCTGAGATTATAGTATGTTGATTACATAATTCACAATATGTGCCAGGCACTTTCTTTTTTTTATTTTATTTTATTATTTTAAAATATATATTTTATTGCATTTTTGGTTTTGGTACATGTGAAGAACATGTAAGATTGTTGCATAGGTACAAACATGGCAGTGTGGTTTGCTGCCTTCCTCCCCATCACCTATATCTGGCATTTCTCCCCATGTTATCCCTCCCTAGCTCCCCACCCGCCACTGTCCCTCCCCTAGTTTCCCCTACAGACCTCAGTGTGTGATGCTCCTCTCCCTGTGTCCATGTGTTCTCATTGTTCAACATCCGCCTATGAGTGAGAACATGAAGTGTTTCATTTTCTGTTCTTGTGTCAGTTTGCT